TTTTTTTTTTTTGGAGAAAACATTTGAATCTTTTTGGTATTCCTGCAAATTGTATGTAATATCGAGGATACGTTGCGTAAAAAGGCATTTTTCCATATTTTGTTTTTCTTGTTAATTCCTGCTTAAGTTTTTATGTATACACTTCAAATAACCATTTTACAACTCCAAATTTGCAGGAAAGGATTCCGGTGGAGGAAGTTTTTGAGCAGCTAAAATGCACAAGGGAAGGTCTGACATCCGAGGAAGGCGAGAACAGGTTGAGGATATTTGGTCCGAACAAATTGGAGGAGAAAAAGGTCTAAAAACAATTCTTGGTCGTTTTTCTTCAAATCAATACTGCATTTCAAAACATAACACCTTCAAATAGTGATATTGATGTTTTTGAGAATTTTTGGGCATTTCAGGAAAGCAAGATTCTCAAGTTCCTGGGATTTATGTGGAACCCGTTGTCATGGGTCATGGAGGCTGCTGCTCTGATGGCCATAGTCCTTGCGAATGGAGACGGGAGGCCGCCTGACTGGCAGGACTTTGTCGGCATTGTCGCTTTACTGTTCATAAACTCGACTATCAGCTTTATCGAGGAAAACAATGCCGGCAATGCTGCGGCCGCTCTCATGGCTGGACTCGCTCCCAAAACCAAGGTAAAAACAGAACAAGTTAGGATTAGATTGAAATAGTGGAATCATTTTTACTGTTTTTGAATGATTTGTTTATGTTATGTTTATATAGGTGCTGAGAGATGGGAGATGGAGCGAACAGGATGCATCCATCCTTGTCCCGGGTGACATCATCAGCATCAAGCTGGGTGACATCATCCCTGCGGACGCCCGGCTCTTGGAAGGGGACCCTCTGAAGGTGGACCAGTCGGCACTCACGGGTGAGTCCCTCCCCGTGACCAAGAACCCCTCAGACGAGGTCTTCTCTGGCTCGACATGCAAGCAAGGGGAGATCGAGGCAGTTGTGATTGCCACTGGGGTCCACACCTTCTTCGGAAAGGCGGCCCACCTTGTCGACAGCACCAACCAAGTTGGCCACTTCCAGAAGGTCCTCACGGCCATCGGAAACTTCTGCATCTGCTCCATTTTCGTCGGCATCGTTATTGAACTTATCGTCATGTACCCGATCCAGAGGCGGAAGTACAGGGATGGAATAGACAATTTGCTGGTGCTCCTCATCGGGGGTATTCCTATTGCCATGCCCACTGTTTTGTCTGTTACGATGGCTATTGGGTCCCACAGGCTTTCGCAGCAGGGTGCCATCACCAAGAGGATGACGGCTATAGAGGAGATGGCCGGGATGGATGTGCTTTGTAGTGATAAGACGGGGACACTGACGCTCAACAAGCTCACGGTGGATAAGAGCTTGATAGAGGTGTTTGTCAAGGGTATGGATAGGGAGGAGGTCATACTGCTGGCGGCCAGAGCCTCGAGGACTGAGAATCAGGATGCAATTGATGCTGCTATTGTTGGGATGCTTGCCGATCCTAAGGAGGTGTGTATTTTTGTCTGTGGTTTTATTTTCTTGGTGAAATTTATTTATTTTTTTGTTTTTAACGTGGATTGTGTTTCATTGGCAGGCGAGAGCGGGTATAAGGGAGGTGCACTTTCTGCCTTTTAATCCTGTGGATAAGAGGACCGCATTGACTTATATAGACTCCAATGGGAACTGGCATCGTGCGAGCAAAGGTGCCCCAGAGCAGGTATTAGCTTTGTTTTTTTTTTTTTTTTTTTTTTTTTTTTTTTTTTCCCTCTCTATCTCTCTTCAAAGATGGTAGGAAGAATAGTAGATTGAATGTCAAGCAAATTCAGACATTTTACATGCTGAAACATTTTAGGTACTTTTTTTCTTTTTCTTTTCATGTGAATAGATATTGGAATTGTGCCGTTGCAAGGAAGATGTGAGAAGGAAGGTGCACTCGGTTATTGATAAATTTGCTGAACGCGGCCTGCGTTCTTTAGGAGTCGCCCGACAGGTTTGTTTTTATCTGTATTTTCAGGATGTTTTGTCTCTCTTACTGGTCGTTATTCATGTTGTCTTGCATTATATTTTGCAGGAAGTTCCTGAGAAAACGAAAGAGAGTCCAGGGGGGCCATGGCAACTTGTTGGTTTGTTGCCTTTGTTCGACCCGCCTAGGCATGATAGCGCAGAAACAATCAAACGAGCATTGAATCTTGGCGTGAATGTGAAGATGATCACCGGTAATTAAATCTTATATTATGGTTATATCGTTCAATTAAATTTCCATCTAGCACTTAATTGATATATGGAATTTTCTTTCCTTTATTGATCAGGTGACCAGCTTGCCATAGGTAAGGAAACTGGGCGTAGGCTTGGAATGGGGACGAACATGTACCCGTCTTCATCATTGCTCGGCCAAAACAAGGATGAATCTATTGCAGGACTTCCTGTAGATGAGCTGATTGAGAAGGCTGATGGTTTCGCTGGAGTATTTCCTGGTCGGTGTTTGATCAGAAATTATTATTTGCCCCTTACAAATTACAATTACTCTAACTAAATAAAGTATCTTTAAAGCTACAAAATGTCCGTTATTTTGTTGGAAACATAATAAGTATCCCATTTCCTTATATTTGTTAAGAAAAACAAATATGAATGTTGCATTTGTGATTTTTGAATGATTACCACAGTTTTCACGATTGGGTTTAGTTAGTCTCGGAATAATTTCCGTAATTACACTTCTCAAGTACAAGTAAGTAAATTTCTGTTGTAATATAAAGACTAGTTATGTTTCTACTATAAAGCTAACTGGGTACAGGGTAACCGTGTTTTATTTATTTATTTCTTTATTTCATTATTATGATTTTTAGAACACAAGTATGAAATCGTGAAGAGACTGCAAGAAAGGAAGCACATATGCGGCATGACTGGGGATGGTGTAAATGACGCCCCAGCACTAAAGAAGGCAGATATCGGCATTGCCGTTGCTGATGCTACCGATGCTGCCAGGGGAGCATCTGACATTGTCTTAACCGAACCTGGTCTTAGTGTCATTATAAGTGCAGTTCTTACTAGCCGGGCCATTTTCCAGAGAATGAAAAACTACACTGTGAGTGGGCCTGCTGCATTTTATCTTTTTTCTTATCATTACTCCTATTTTATGTTTTCATTATATACTGTGAGATTTAGATAGCTGACTTTTCACTTTACTTTTGTCCAGATATATGCTGTCTCGATTACTATCCGTATAGTGGCAAGTGTCGCATTCTCAGCTCTAGATTGTTCTTATCATTTGATGCTGTTAAATGATTTATTTATTCTTTTGTTTTGATACTGCAGTTTGGATTCATGCTTATTGCTTTGATATGGAAATTCGACTTTGCTCCATTCATGGTTCTTATCATAGCTATCTTAAATGACGGTATAACATTCCGAAAGCTATTATATGTTAAACTAATAATATAATGTGTGCCCATTCAAATTCGTCTACTTTATCCTTACCTTGCTCTTATATCTCCTAGGGACCATCATGACGATTTCAAAGGACCGAGTCAAGCCATCTCCCGTACCCGACAGCTGGAAGTTAAAAGAAATTTTCGCTACCGGAATTGTCTTAGGAGGGTACTTAGCGCTTGCGACTGTCCTATTCTTTTGGCTCATTAAGGATAAAGATTTCTTCTCGGTGAGCATAACTTATTTCCCCCCCTTTTTCTTTTGAAAAAGAAAAAAAAAAAGAAAAAAGAATACCGTAAAATTAAACTTACATGTGAACTAAATTTTCTAATTCTCCTATCCTTTACTAGTCGTTCTTCATCTCTTGATCCCTTTATAAATATCCTTTCGAATCTATGTGCTGCAGGATAAGTTTGGTGTGAGATCGTTGAGAGATAGCCCCCGTGAAATAATGTCGGCATTGTACTTGCAAGTGAGTATCGTTAGCCAAGCACTCATTTTCGTGACAAGATCACGCAGCTGGTCGTACGTCGAACGTCCGGGCATGTTCTTGATGGGTGCTTTCATGATAGCTCAGCTGGTAAAATTTACACCATTGCCACAGAAGCCAAATAAAAAAAAACAAAAAAAAAAGGTTGTATTTCATCTTTCAGGTCCGGTTAATTATTTTTATTCTGTTCAATGTATGACAGGTTGCGACTCTAATAGCCGTTTATGCCAATTGGGGTTTCGCGAAAATCCATGGGTGCGGGTGGGGTTGGGCGGGCGTTATCTGGCTCTATAGCATCGTGACTTACGTACCGCTCGACATTCTTAAATTCTGCATTCGATACGTCTTGAGTGGGAAAGCCTGGGATAATCTTTTGGAAAACAAGGTAATAACAATAAAACGAGTCTTTTTCTTTATCGTGTTTTGCCTAATCCTTGATCAACTATTGATTATTAATATTTCTCTTTGATTATGAAAAAAACAGACTGCTTTTACTACCAAGTCCAACTATGGGATAGAAGAAAGAGAGGCTCAGTGGGCGGCAGCACAGCGGACCCTGCACGGCCTTCAGCCGCCAGAGACCACCAACATCTTTCCTGAGAAAAGCGGCTACCGGGAACTTTCCGAGATTGCTGAACAAGCCAAACGACGGGCTGAAGTTGCAAGGTAATTGAAAAATAAATGAACCAACTTCTCATTGTTTCCGAATAATTACAAAAAACTACCCTGAGTATATTATCCTTATTACACTAAAAGCCCAGTTGTTTCCATGAAGTTTGTATTTTGTAAAAGTAGCACTGGCATTGTTAAGTTTATAATTTTTCGAATAGTCTTACGGATATTGAACAAAATATTCGAGAAGATGGATAGACTTTCTTCGTATAATGCACCCTACCTCTTATCCAAACTAAAAAGAAAAATGCATCTATATGTGTAGTTAATGGTATAGCAAAGAACATTGAAGATCCCTTTAATTAATTTTTGTCAGGCTGAGAGAGCTGCATACACTCAAAGGGCATGTCGAGTCGGTTGTGAAGCTGAAGGGACTCGACATTGACACAATTCAACAACATTACACCGTCTGATCAGAAGAACAACTCAACTGTTCCGAGTTTTAATGTTATATTGGTAGTCATCTAGTACATTTACTCTTTGCCTTGATGGTTAAAGTACTTTCTAATCTTGGTTTGTACGAAACATTTGGTTTGGGTATTTGTCGGTCGAGCTTGAAGAAATAACCAGCTCGGGTATCAGTCCATGTAGTGATGATAATGGCGAAGAAAATAATGTCTGTGTTCGTCTCCGATTCTTTTGTTTTATTTTGATGGTGATATCTGAGACGATTGAATTTTATAGTACCTGAATCAGAAACACTTTCTTGCTCAGGAGTTCTGCTTAAGTTATTACAAGTTTGTATCAATCTATCAGATATGATAAAAGTAATCTATTAAATACATTCAAACATAATTCAACGTAAACATGAAAAATGTCACAGATTACACAAAAACACGTCAACAGACTGCACAATCTTTTTGTTCAGAAATTCGTTCAGAATACTGATAATCATCACCAAGGTTTCATTACCTCCCCGCTGCAAGAACTGACAGAAGATTCCGTAAGTGCATCATCCGGAAAAGACCTAGTTGCACTTTGAATATATGGGAATTCGTTTTTGTCCCCCTTTGACAAAACAATGGGAAACCGATTCATGTAGTCGTCGCGGCTGTTAATGAAATACGAACAAAAATATTGACGGCTATTTTGAAGACGGAGAATTAAGTAATCTAACTAAAGGTAGCTCGGTACTCTAGATGATTCAGATTCACATATCCCCTTCTTTTGTTCAGGTAAACTCCGGGAATCAGCATGAAGTCAACAAACAGATAATACATATCTCGGAGTCTACCAATACGATCTAAAGGGCACAGGGGACTGGATACAGTGAGCTCGATTACTACCTCACGACGGACTTGATACTTACGATTGCTCGTGAACCAGTTCCTCCACAAAAATTCGACGTCTTGGATTAGTGGTCAAAGATGTCTCCCATTTACCAATTTCATGCTTGATGGCCAAAGAGATTTACCAATACGATCTAAAGGGCACAAGGGAAACTGATTCATGTAGTCGTCGCAGGGTACATATCTCGGAGTCTACCAATACGATCTAAAGGGCACAGGGGACTGGGTGAGCTCGATTACTACCTCACGACGGACGTGATACTTACGATTGCTCGTGAACCAGTTCCTCCACAAAAATTCGACGTCTTGGATTAGTGATTTCATGCTTGATGGCCAAAGAGATTTACCAATACGATCTAAAAGGCACAAGGGAAACTGATTCATGTAGTCGTCGCAGGGTACATATCTCGGAGTCTACCAATACGATCTAAAGGGCACAGGGGACTGGATATACTGAGCTCGATTACTACCTCACGACGGACTTGATACTTACGATTGCTCGTGAACCAGTTCCTCCACAAAAATTCGACGTCTTGGATTAGTGGTCAAAGATATCTCCACAAAAATTCGACGTCGTGGTCAAAGTACCTGCCGGGCCGGGTACTTTGTTGAGCTCCTAGAGGCCGATAACTCCATGTTGTGTCTTTTTGGGTAGCTTGGTATCTTAAGCCCGCGTTCAACTTCGAGCATCTTACTTCTATATATACAAGAGTTCTCCTAGTCTAGCCTAACTGAGCTACCTGCTCAGACCGGTCTATTAGACTATTTCTGAGTGTTATATCAATATTTAGTATATGTACAACTTGTACATGTCACTCACATGCAAAACAAAATGACGACGTCCTTCACTAAACAATAATAAGAAAAACGCAACAAAACTACTTAAAGAAACGCAACGCCTAAAACACAACTTAAGCAACAAAAAAAAAAAAAAGACTAACGATCATAACTAACTAGAGATAGGGAAAACATATAAACCGACAGAAAAATGGCGACTCTAACAATATTCAAAATAATTCAATTTAACTCGTCAAGTTGAATCCATATCCAATCGCTCAATAATGTCTCTATCCAATGTGTTAAATACCGTATCGTACCAGCCGGTAATACCGGATACCGACTATTGGTACAATACAATTACACATAAAATATCGGATTTACGGTTATACTGGTTTGTACCGGGATCATACTGTAAATACCGGTCTAAAATACCAGCTAATAAAAAAATATTAATTTAAAAACATAAAATTTAAATTGTTTTAAAATATTTTATTTTTATCCCTTTGAGAAGTTGAAATTAATGATTATGGTAATTTATATATATTTTTTTTTTCATTTGGTATTATATATTTTTATGTATATCTATATATACCATTATACTTGTTAGTCCGGTAATATCATCGATATTACCAGTCCGATCAATAATACCACGTAGGGGTCGATAGGCCGGTATGACCCATATTTGATCCAATCCCCCCTATATATTAATCCAGAACGCGTTGAGCCTACGTGACTGCTTCTGATACTTCGGAATCATATGTGGCAAAATTACATGCTTCGTTATTAGGCTTGGGTAAATTTTAATTTAATTCCAAACAAAAAATAATTAGACTCGGATTACCATAAATATGTTGATTATTTATAGTCATGTTACATGTATTAATTGCATTTTAAAATCATTCCTTATTATAACTATTGAATTGTAAATATATTTAAAAAGTCAATAACTTTTGTATTTTTTATCAGTTTTACA